TCTGTTTGCCTATCCAGCATCCTTCCAGATTCGCACGCGCTTGCTTACCTTCACCGCTGTACGATTCAGCACGATGCGTGATAAGAAATTCGGACGGTGGACAATATGTTGTTTCGCGCAAAGTCATCTTTTTTAATTTTCCTTTATCTATATATATATAATTTGGGACAGAATTCTTCTTTATTAACTTTGTGTCATATAATACAGAAAATATATTTAAAAAATTAATATAGAAATCTATACAAAATGCACATACATATGTATAAAGATATGTGACACATAAATAGATATCGAAAATTTGAAAGAGTAATTCCGGGAAAAAAATTAAAGTATAATTTGCAAAGCGAAATATAATTTATTAAATATAATTGATAAAAATTCAGTAGATTAATTACCGAAACACATGTGATATTGAGATTAGCTAAAGCTGCTGATAAATATGCTATTCGAAAATAAAGTAAAGCCAAACGATCTTATTAAATAAATTTGTAAATTGGTCAATCGTAAATAGAGCTGTGTCGACTTGCCGTCGTGTTCCGTTGTCATCGATTGTTGCATGATTGTGCGAATTTTATTAACCGCTCTCAAACGAAGGAATCACCCTTTTCTCATAATCCCCCGAACGATTCAATGCCAGATTCGATCCGGGAAGACGATACCCGCGCCCTTCCAGACCCGACGCTCATCCTCGTTTCACCGACCCTTTGACGCCTCTTCCGGCGTCGCGACGCCAGCCATTAAATCCCCATAGAAAGCTCCCCAATCCCCATCCTTCCCCTTGTCGCCTTTTGGGATATTCGAGGTGAACAACCTCTGCTTTAATCCCCGTGCATTTCGCACGGAAATTCCATAGAGCGCCCTTATCCTCCCGCTTTTCCCTTTCTACCTCGTGAAAGCGTAATTTCGCAGCTTAGACCTCCTTTCAATTTGAAACGCTTCGCGGAATCGTCTCGTTTCATATCTACAATTCATATAATTTATAGTAGTTTCGTATTACTGAATATTATAATAAAGATGGAAAGACGAGAGATTCGTCGCCGACTCGAAATACGCGAGAAAATTCGCGGACACCCCGTATGCGAATAACGGCTCTCGTTTGCGCACCTTGATCTCTTCTGCGCTCGGTGCCAAGTGGTACACTTATATTTACGTACGTGCGTGCAAAACGCAAAAGATGAAATCGATGCCTTGAATTTTTTAGCTCCGTTTCTATTTCAAAATTTCATATATTTCCAAATTTTGTGCTATACAAACTTGTTAATTGTAATTCATACGAATTCCATCTGATTTAATAAAGTCGGTGCGAAATTTGCATAATTTTCTCGTATTACAAGTTTATAATGCCGTAAAACGCGCAAGATCCGCTCTTCTAAAACAGTGAAATTACGTAATCCAATCCATTATACGGTCTAATGTTTCCCGTGCGACTTTTGCAAAGGCCCAACCGGCACATACGCGTTAAATTTGAAGTTTTATATATCACATTGACTTTTATGGGTTTAACTACATCCGCGAGAAATGTGGAATATTAGTGCAAGTATTATCAGCGATTGTGATTGCACGAAAATATCAATTATAAATTATTTCCCTCTTCTCTTGTTTCCGATTATCTATGTATTTTTGATGTACCGCGCACGCGTTGTTGAATATTCCAAATGGTTATACAACTCGCATTGTACGAGAACAGTTCGAAATATAATTTAGTTTGAATATAATTTAATCTTGGAAAAACTTATCGTAATTATATTATACAATAGAAAGAAAGATGAACGTGACTGTTATTATATAAAAGAAAGAAACTATTAGAAAAATATTTTCTTAAGGATGCTCTGAATGTAAGATTGCATTGGCGATATTTCACTGTTAACATACAATTTACAAATCAAAGCTGCTGTCGTTTTTATCGCCGACTCTGATCGGAAAAGATTCTTGAATTTTGTCGTTAAAATAACGCAAAGTTGAAAGAAATTGATTGGCTTTCAATTTTAAATAGTTGAAAATATTACGTTTGAGAAATATCTTAAATGTATCAGATATATAATAAAATTATTTTTATCATATTTATTCGCGCGTGTAAATAGTAATAATTTAGTAATAACGGAGATAAACCTGACGAGAGAAGAAAAATTAATTTAAGTCAATTTTTACGCTGCAACATTCTTTGACGGATGTGCAGGACTCATTGAAATCGCTGACGATGCCAATCGATCGTCCATCCGCATTCCGATCGCGAAGGCCAGGAAATTGGAAACACGATTACGCAAGGAAAAAAAGAAGAAGTAGTCGAATCTCGATTCGAATCGCGCGACACACGTCGCGGCTGGTTATCGATACGTATGTCAATCTGTTCGCGTGCGCGAATTTGCGACGATGAATTCGCGCAAATCACCGGTATCCCGGATGCGTCGTCACGCATTCCACATCTCCGCAGTCACATACGAATCCGATTGTCCATGGTCGGTCAATATAATACAATATAATGGCGCTCCCTAGAGAGCATCCGCGCAAATTCGAGTTTCACGGACCGAGTCGAAAAGTTTTGCGAAGAAACTTGGTGCACCTGATCACGTCCATAAAGGTGAAAAATGTTATATGGTACATAGATATTCCTGAAAGATTACATACATATATATAGGAATACGCACACACGTGGTACAAAATGTGGAATATATCGTTCGCCTATAATTTCGTAGGCAAGAAATGCGAAAACTGATTGTTGCTACAAGGCGGATTATCGTTGATCCATTAAAGTATGTCAAAATAGAATTGCAATAAAAATAACTTTGTAGAAGAAATAAATTTGAGGAGTATCATGGAACAAAATTATAAAGAAATAATCAGCTACAATTTTTGATTATTTACACAGAGACTCTCTCCTGAAATCCTTTATTGCTCTGATGCGATGGTATGCTCGTTAATAAAGTTACTGCATAAGTTAATAAAGGTACTACATAAGTTAAATATTACGTAATAATATTTTATGCATAATAAGAGTTTCATTTCAGCTTTATTGCTCATGAATTTCTCAATTGCATAGCCGAGATCGTGACAGGTTAAGATGGAAAATTCTATAAATATCGCGTTAAGATCTATTTACTTGAAAACTATATATATATATATATGTATAATACATAAGGATGCGATATATATTCAGAAACTTTCGCATATTCCTGCTTCTACGTAAACTAGTTTACAAACTTATGCTCGGCAACAAATATAAATTTTTGAATTATGTGAAATATAAAAAGATTCTGCATTAATTAAAATGCGATTTGATTGGGAGAATGGAATTTCAACGAGAGCGCGATGTCTTTATCACGTTCACATGGAAGATGAGAGGGGGTGGGAGAGGGGGTGGGGGTAGGTGAGAGGCTGCGCGCTATCGCGGTCCATACATTCTGCAGATTGAATAGCGCCTATTATGCGTAAAGTGCGAGAGAGGAGTTTCCTGCTGCGCCCATATGGCATCGCGCCGAGTCGTTTGCATTCCCAACGTCAGTTTGAGCGTGAATGCCAGTTTAAGCGTGAACAATCGCGAGGCCGCACGACAGATATTACGCCGATTCCGATGGTCCATCGGATCCGCGGCGAACGCGGATGTAGCAGCCGCCGTCGATTCGCGCGTCGCGAATCTCGACGAGTCCGCGAGAGATGATTCCCCATGCATTCCGCAACGATCCAATAATTCCGAGCGATTGCCGCCGATTTCCCAGTCACGGTCGACGATCAACGACTACCATTTAATTTCCATCTATTCCGGGAAACCTGTTCGCGCAAACCTCCCGTTAGACACCCGCTCGTTACGAGGCAACGCGAGAAAAAGAAAAGGAAATTGGTTCGATGCGTAACGTCGTGGAGCCCGTCCCTAAGCGCAATCCAGGGCTTTGCGTAATCGCGCTGGCCTGCTTTCGGATACGTCGACTTAATTGCGCGCGATAAATTGTCCTTTCCTTCTCTCCCTCTCGCTCCGTCTCGTCGGCCTGTTCTCAAACGCGGTGGTCTACCATCGTTCTCAAGCATTGCACACTTCCGTTCTATCTCTCGTTCTGTCTATTCTGTCCCATACCATTCCCATAATGCATCCGGCAATTGATCCGGATGAATCTGCTAGCGTGAGACTCGATTAAATTTGGACCTATAGAATGGAGATTATTTTATACACCTAGATTTAGTTTGTTTTAGATTTGAAAATGAAAAATATAAAGTTGAGATTATATAAAACTTACGAAATAATTTTGCGAGGAAGCAAATATCGAATAAAAATTTTTTTAATTAAATTATTTTCTTAAATATTGGCTAGTTTTAAAATTTCTTTACTGCGATGCAAAGTTATTATTTTACAGAGGAGAAATAGTCTCATGTGAATTTAGTTTGGTACTAACTGCACTCTACGCTGTGCGAATCTCCCAGTGCATTTGGTTCGATTCGAACTTAAATAATTGATTGTAAAATCTTAACGAAGCGTACACATCGTTAACTCGTAACGGCTGGCTCGAGAGAACGAACTACGATCTACGAAAGATTCTTACTCAATCTAATATCCATTCTGGTATCTCATATATTTTTCCCATCTTTCCCATTCAAGCGAGACAAACGGAATTTCCTGAACAGATTCGATTATCGATTCGTCGCGATCCAGAGAATATTTATGCGATCTCACCGCATACATACGCAATTATCATAAATATATCTCGTATGAAAATTTGCAATCTTTGAGAATGACTCGTGGAAAGTAAAAAAAAATCGCATTACATATAAAACTTAGTCGAAAAATAAAGAATTTTATATTAATTTATGAATTTTAAGACTAAGTGACGGATAAAAATAAATACACACATGCGATAATATTAAAATAAATGCATTGCCTCGAGCAATCGAATCGCCACATGTCTTATTATTTCATGATCATAAATTTAGACACCTCCGCGTGTCTTCGAATGGAGATGCAAAGAATTCGAGATACGATTTTCACGAGCATGAACATTTTTTTTTTCTCGCAGCATCCGGCTCAGGATCTGTGATAGGAAGAGATCCTCTTCCGCCTAGGGCCGTCAGCACGTCTCATCTGCCTCAAAGAACGCTGACTCAACCGCCGACGGCGGTGTCCACACTTCCGTTACCGAGAAGCAGTGCCGGCAGCGGACATCGGCAGCCGCCGCTTCCGCTCCATCGCTCGACTCCACAGCAGCAACCATCTATGAGGCAGCTGGATGGCGAGACCACCGCTCAGATGCTGAGGGTCGTCAGTAATGGCGACATCGTCAAGGGTCCCGGCATGTAAGTAGACACAACTCTCCCTCTCCATCGGTATTTCTACAACAAAGTTTCAGGACACTCCACAATTAAACCGTTTCTATCAAGCTCCATAATAGGGAAACTTATTAGCGAACGCGGACTAGACTGTCTGTCTAGTTATGGTTCGCGAGTTGCTCGGCTGTTTAGCTACTTTGAGATGGTGAATAGATAGGAATATTATGCGACAAGCAGTTAAATATCGATACCTTACAGATATCGAATTTGAAAAAAAATTTGGCTAAAAATGATTCTAGTATCAAAGCGCGTAATCATCACGTTGCAGATATTTCAGCATTTCTCATTTATTGTGCCACAAACCGCGATAAAATTGTTCGGCTAGTATGTCGAAATGCAAAATGTGGAAATGAGTTAATCGCCATAAAAGTCCATGGCGCGTGTTTCCATCCAAACACAGAACGATTAGCTCTCTCTCTCTCTCTCTCTCTATCGCCTTATTTAGCCGTAACTCATTACCTTGCGTTCATTTGGTCGCTGCTTAATTACTCGCCGTTGTTATCGCAAACAACAATGCGTCGTTAGTTTCGTATGTAATGCACATCTACTAAATTTCCCGTGTGTTCTTGACAACTGATAGCCGAGCTTATGTAATATCGCAATTGCACCAATTAAACCGAACTCGTACGAAGGACATAGCAATGTCATAATTAAACGAAAACTGTTTTCAAGGTTCGCCGAACTTTATTATTATTCTTTTTGTCAACTAAACCACATCACCTTGATATAATATAATTTGACTGTCACAATTATTGTAATTTTTCTATAATTAATTTGCAAAGCTTTTGAAATGTTATAGCGATCTATGCGTTAGAAAATAATGCGCGTGTTAAATGAGAATTGTAAAATATAAATTCGAGAATTGCCAATATCTAATTGATATATTCGGTAGCTCCGAGTTAGTGGCAATCCACAGAAAAAGTTTAAGCTTTGCAGGACATGATTTGGAAGCCACTGTCTCACAGAGCGTTTCTTCTCAACTTTAAGAATTTAATCCTCTTCCTCTTAATCCTCATATTTTTCTCTGCGCTAGGACGTTTTATGGTGTTTCAAACGCGACCTTCTACGAATCGATCCACATTGACCCGCTCGTCAAATTTCAGGGTTACCGGGAACGAGATGAGAGACCTGAGGTTAGCGTCACCGAGCGGTCATTCCACTCAGCGATTGATCAGCCCGGTCGGACATTTGCGGGTCGCTTCGTTAAACGATCATCGTGTTTCCAGTCCCAGCGACAGCGAAATATATGTGCATAGTCCAAGTAAGTTCTGCTCTCTACTTTTGTAAATCCTAATTTACCACAGTACTGCCTCGATACTTTCGCGGTTTTTATAGACAATCTCTCTCGATGAACCGACCGGTGTAACGGCGAAACTATTAATCACCCGTGGCAACTTTGTCGATCCGGGAAATCCGGCTTTATGAAGGAAAACTTCAACTTTTATCGCGGACTCGAAGATGGTTAAGGCGCAATTAATATATTGTTGGTCGTAATATGAGTTAGGATAACTTTCGCGATGGTAAATTTGCCGGAAAATAGTTACGACGTTGCATTCGAATGTCATCTCCGAATGAATAGTCCACAATCCATCCTTTCGTATAAAGCATATAAAAATGTATCGTTAATAAACATTAATTAATAACGTCAGACAATGCCAAAATATATAACGCCTATATTATTTACGAAATGATTACTCAACGTACGAGATACCTCATGCTATGCGGAATTAATAGCTTTCTAGGGGCGCTAATTAATCAATTTTTTTCAAGGTATTCCTGACAAGTCCTTCCACAATTTCTCAAATAATAATTCTTTTAATTTTACAGTATAAATTTATGGCACGAATATATCGGAAAAATATTACAATGATCGCGATAGCTTTCTCACAAATTTTTGAAAGTAAATTTCTATTCAATAATACTCATAAATTGAATTAGAAAATAATATAAATATTCGACAAAATTAATTTTACTTTTCTTAATTTTACTTTGCTATATTTCTTTAATTACAATGGCAAATACTCATCTCTGAATATTCAATGTCAAACTAATCCGACTTGTCTGGAACATTCGGTTCGTGCAAACTTAAGAGTGATGAACAGAGTCTCGCTTTCGGATATGAACGATTAATACTCGCGAGATTAAGCGGTGATTTAGCATCTGCTCTGAATCGCGAAATTGCCGAACTGTCTAAAAAACATATAAATTTAGATGGAGAATTTTAGCGAGCGACCGGGTTAATTATCCGAGAATCCCTTGTGCAGCGTTGTTTCGATAAAGTATATGCGTATGTGCCGCCCGCCGTCTAATGCATAACGCGGAATAATGAAAATCCCGTGTGCTTTCGATGCCCCGCCTCACTACGTAAGGGTACGCGTAATCGATATCAGGCTTTAGGAAATTTACCTCGAAAACATACGGATTGAGATTATGCAATATCATTACGTGAATATTACGTTGCAGTTTCTCAATGGAAGGAAAAAGGTCAGAGCTCTCTCTGCAGCATCTCTTTTTCTGCAACGCGATGAATATTTTAAATAAATTTTATTTGTATGATTTTAATTTAATCGTTTTCTTCCCTCTTCAGATCCGAGCAGTCGTAATATTTTGGCACTGATGGTACGACGTGATATTAAGAAAATTGTAAGAATAACTTTATCGTGTGCGAACACAGATGTGGTGGATAGCTCTTGGCAAATGCTATCCTCAAGAAGAATGCAGGAAATGTCTCTCGCTTGCAATCTAAATGCCACGGTTCACCAAGAATTTTCTTGGTATGCAATTCGATTGTATCTGTACAAATACAATGGCTGCGCAATATTCTGCGTTAAACGAAAATCTGTGCTTTTCTATTTTACGATGTGCGTCCTATGATCGCAGTTGCGGGATATTTTTGCAGACATGTGATTTAGGGCATTTCAGATCCATCATCGTTTAGTCCAACTACAAATAGCAGAATTAAAAAAAAAATGTATAATAATTGTTTCAAAGCTTAATAATTCTTTGAAATTGTAAGATATCAAAAAATATTATGGCAGGTTAATTTCAATGATTTCTGATATGCAAACTCTTGTTTTCCAAATATAGGTTTCAGCAAAAATTAATCCAAAATTTTTAATTACTACAGATTTTTTTAAATGTTAATTTAAAAAAGAACTCATTTTTCATTTTCGAAACTCGTGATTGAAAACGCTTGGTATTATGTTTGTGATATTCTGAATATATAACGAATATAATGAGAGAAGAAATTGTTCTAACAATTCTGACGCTTTGAAGCGCAGGTAAGTACAAACGACTATCATCAACGTGATTAAAGAGAAAGTCAATCTGTTCGTTCGTTATTAAAATCTTTTTCTTCGAATGTAAGCCCGCGAGCATAGAGAAAGAAATCTTTAGAAATATCAAGGATTCCTATATTTCCGGCCTCGTATATCCTTTCGCTCGTTACGATACTCTCAGAAATACGCGACTTCCTCTCAGCATTCGTTTCCTGCGCGCGGCTTTCTCTGACGCAAGGAACGTTGTATCTCAGGCAGGACCGTAACTTTTACCTTTTTTTCTGCTCACAGGCGAGAGAAAAATGATGAGCTCGATCGGCAGGGAGGTCGATCGAGGAGGTACAACGACGACGACAGGGCAGAGACAAAACCAGCAACGGATGCGTGCGGATTGTAGTGAACTGCTGCATAAAAGGGTGAGCGAACATGAGTTGTCTTTATTTATTAACGCCTTGACGCGAGGCCTATTTGCGATTCGATTGGCATGGCAGAAAGCATGATGGATGGAGAGAGGAGATTCGCGCATTCCATATTCGCGGCATCGATCGTGCGACCGTCGTGCGCGAGAATTAACCGCGCCGTCGTCGCGGTGATCGGTCACCGCAAACGGCAAATTTATAGCTGAAGAATGGGTTTCGTAAAAATGTCGTATTGTTTAGCGATAGCGCATTCGCGATCGGCGTTCAATTCCACAAGAAAATCCACGCAAGCAGGTTTTGCGAACCTGCGGGCAGCATTCTCGCGCGAGATCTCTCCTCCCGACTCTCGCGTTTCTCGAAAATATATTACGTATATACATATACGCGTTATAGTTAGTTTTCGCGATGGAAAATTTATCGTTTACGCGATGCAAAGAGCTCGCGAATTTTCCTGATTTATATTATAATACAATGCCAGAGTGCGCGTGTTGTCGCGTCCCGAAGTCGAATTAGTGGAATCGAATGGCGAATTCTCTCGCAGGTTGTTGCACGATCGATCGTTTTACTGCTTTATCTATAATTGTCTCTTTTGTCCATATCACGCAAACATACACGTTGCCTGTTTTACTGACGCGATGTAGTCTGCATATCATCGTCGCAGCATGTAAATTCCATTAGCTCAATTAATTAAAATGTTGTCTCGAAAGAGAGAGAGAGAGAGAGAGAGAGAGGGGGAGAAAGAGAGACCGTAACACTTTCGAACATTATATACATGAGCCATAGGTACATACGATTCGACGTGAATGATATTGATAACACCGGATCGTGCACAATAAATGCGAAACAAATTTCCATTTAAATGCTTTGACTTTCCAAAGCGGAAAACTATGGCCGATGAGTATCTCATAATTTATGGATAAAACCATATCAAGCTATGTCGTATATTCGAGAGTGAATGTATATGGTTCATATAATTATTATTTCATTATATGGAATAGATTATAATTGTGGGATAGATAAAGTGTAAATACGGTTTGGAAGCCGAGCAAAACTCTAATGAGGACCTCTTCATTTATTCTCGCGATCGCATCTAAATAGCGGTGAATCTAATCGAGCTATACGATTAAGGCTTTACACGTGTACCTTTGACTTCTTACAGTCGCTTCTTTAGTATGCAGCAAGTATAGCGTCGGACGATCGTAAAATTCTAAGCGCGGCTCGAGGAGTTTGCGCTACAAACAATCCTGTTAGACAGCATTCTTTAGAGACGATTTCATCGCGGATACTCCTCAAGCCCGACCGCGATCGAGAATCGGATTTTTCACCTCGTAAAGGAAAATTTGGACGGAAACACATTTTTTTAAAGATGAATTAAGAAGAATTTATCTCGAACGCGCAGTATACGAAGAGGCAAGAAAGTAACGTTCCAAGTGTCGTCGTCCTGGCGCCATTACTACATACAATGGACAGCGGTGAAGAGCGGCAAGAGGACCAGGACGAAGGAGGAGTGAACGAGAGAGAAAGAAATAGAAGAAGCGCAAAGAGCGATGGAGAGACGATGAAGAAAAAGAAAACCGAGAAAGGGACAGGGTCCAGGGTCGATCCTGCATACGGTCAGCACCGGTCAGCAAGGGCACCGTGCCAAGAAACTTCAAACCTTAAGCTTCATACACAATGAATATCTCTAACGACAACAGAAATGAATGGAACAAGCTTGAAAATTCAATTTATTTGCATCTCGAGTTTTAAATCTTAATCTTCGTCGACCACCGCATTCTGGCGATCGTATTACTCCTAAAAATATTTGTCGCGAAACGTCGTTTCTTCTCATCCACAATCCATCTTGGACCACAGGCAATTTTCCCGCGTAAACTGACACCCTACATCTTGCGAACGCATCAACCGCGTAATATTTCTGCAGGACGTACATGTACGAATGATATCCATTACCACGTAAATCTCGTGGATTCGTCCCGGTCGCCGTCGTCCCGGTGGATCGTAGAACGTCGATAAAGGAGAAGACTCGCGCGAATAAAAGCGTCGCAACGAGCTCAGAAGAAGCGAGAGGAAGAAGAGAAGAAGCAGCAACAGCAACTCGGAACTTTTGTCGGCGAGCATACCCGCGTGTGGTCGAGGGGCAGTCGGGGCCCTTCGGGGGGGGCAAAAGGTACAAAACGTCAAGCATCGGACGAACCCGGCAAGGCGGCAATGCGCACACTATGCAGCCGGCCAGTCGGTCGGTCGCTCGGCGAAGCCGATCGGACCCGGGCACGACGCCAGTCGGACACCAGTCTGTCCAAGTCCTCCTTGCGCTCCTCCGCGACGCTCAACCCGCGCCATCCCGTTCGTCGCTTCGATGCGAGACGCAAGCTTGCGGTGGAAATTTTTTCATTTTCTACACAAACTGGAGCATCCCCTCTACCCCTTCGCTCTCCTGGCTGTTCCGTGAGACAGACGCCGGGACTTCCACGAGTTCAGGTAAAACGTTAAATGGAATGGAATGGAATGGAATGGAAGATTCGAGACGCGACAGGCGCTTGCTTGCGTGGGAGAGATGCGATTAAGTAGCTGTTCGATGTATTTACTTGAAATTGAAGAATTAAGATTAGAAAAGATGAATGTACGGCTTTCGGAGATTGCGCGTTTAATACAGATGTCCAGAGATATTAAAAATATTATATATGGATTTTTTTATTAAGCTTGTAAATTCCGCGAATTAATTTGATTTGTACAAATACGAATAATATTTTCAATGTAGAACAAATTCTTTTGCGCCAACATCTCTCATAAAGGGAGAAACCCATAAAGTTACATTTATAATTTGATATATTTTAATATTTTTACGTAAAAGTATGAAAAATCAAAATCTATTGATATCAATATAAAATATGAATGCGTCTGATTCGGATATATTAAAAATTCGCTGGCTTTTTGTAAAATTTTGCAAATCTCTATATTTTCTATTTAACGAAAGATTGTTCTAAGCAAAGGTGAGCGTGCCTTTCCTTCTTGTGATGCGATTGTCGTGCGGACATGTTGATGTATTTTAGTGCGAGGTGAAAAGGGATTCCGGATTCGCTGAGCGATCGTTTCTCGCAAGGGAATGCTTCCGATCTCGCAGGAATCTTGCGAATACAGATCAAGATTATATGACCTCGAAGACAGCAAAGATTGACGGAGATTCCAATAGGAATGCGAGAAACGGGCGAGTTACTCTGTGGAATTTGTTCGTTAAAGTAAGGAAGGTGTATTTTCGTTTGTGCGAAGAAAACTATCGATCGATGCTTCGATTGCTTCGGATTTCATTCGTGCACCATTCACCGAATGAAATTTGCCGTTTCCTTCGCCGCAATGTTACGTGCAGCGAGCCTCGGCGTCACCTGTATCTGTTCGCGCTCGTCTGTATTGGTATGTCGATGAGAATTTTTACTTCCTCTCGGGCTCGTCCTCCGGTAAGAGAGTCTCGTATTATTAGAAAATTGGAAAGTAATAGAAAACTACGCGACGCACGCCCCGTTTTTCCTCGATTTTCCAAGACCTTTAAGAATCATACGCAAAGGAACTGACACACGAGAAATATAATCAATTTGATCAATTTGGCTCGAAGCTTCAAAATGACTTCAAAATGAAACGTATATACAGTCATCCGAATCTTATTTTTGAACATGAACGAAAATGTAAAAGAGGAAGAATTATCGTAAAAATAATTATTGTTTAATTTAAATTCTTGCGCGATATGACGTTTCCTTATTAAATAATGTAATTTCAAACTGAAGAAAAAAGAAAAATATTTTTATTATTACTCTGTTGTTAGTTAGTGAGTTTAGTTAAGATTTTGCGTTGCTGAAAAAAAAAAATTTTTGCTGTCGACTTGTGCGTTGCGTCTCTTTTATACACAATTATTAATGTATCACCATGTTCGTGGATTCATGCTTAAAGAATCGAGGTTTCTGCCCCGAAATAACATGGACTACATGGAGAATGGTTTTTGCCTTTTGGAGCGACATGAGGGATTACGCCTTCTACCGTTGGTTACCATGTAACTCTGCGCTTTAATTGATTAAGACTCTTTCTGTATACCGTTTATATTGTTGAGTTTAGTATTATTTGCGCTGATAATGGCCAAAAAAAGGGCCGAAACGTCCGCCTTTCGCGAATCATGTAATTAAAGAAATTCTCTAATTTCTTAATTTATTTTTTAATTTAAATTCTTGCGCGATATAACGTTTCCTTATTAAATAATGTAATTTCAAACTGAAGAAAAAAGAAAAATATTTTTGTACGAGATATTCTCTCGCGCGGTCTAAATAATATCTTCGGATTTTATAAATGACTGGCGGAATAATGCCGGGATATAAATAACATTGTTTTACGTAAATGCTGGTGAATATTCGAGCGAATGAGCAGTGCAGTTATTCGTAAATTGATAGGGCATATATCACTTATTATTAATTTTATTTATTTATTTATTACTCTATCTCATATAATACTCAAATGATAAACAAATTACTTTGACGTTAATTATTATTTCGACAATGTTTATATATAGTGCATGGTGTTCCACTTTACGTCCTATCATGGCTTTCATGGCTTTCAGCCATATTACAGGAGGTCGAGTATATCCCCTCGCTTCGTCTCTCGAGCTACCACAAATTCAACCGTAAGAGCCATTAAAACGTAGCGGTTTTGGAACACGATGAATGTAAAATTCGAACAGACGGATAGATCGGCTAAACGGTAATCTTCGTCCTGCGCTGTCACCGAGAAATTCTGTGCAGTTAAAAATTTTGTATACGGTCTCTCGCATAGGCACAATCAGCATAAAACCACTAGCAGAAATTTCAATACAGACTACCTAATTCGGGCTGATGCGGCTCACCGCGGATTCTCTATTTTCCGCATTTATGCGGAATTTGTTCCACGCAAAAGCTAGTTTACATAGTTTTATCAGTTTCGACTCGCGAAACCGGACGCGCGCGCGCGGTCGAATATCTGTATATCTCGTGTGCGCTTGTAATTTAATTCCTCTCTGTACTCCATTCTCGGGCTATAGGATTTAGTAGGTATTGCATCATAAATTGTCGTAACAACATTGCTTTTAGGCAAGTTTAAAAAATACATCCATGGTAAAACGGGGGAAAGGTATTGTGCATATTCTGAAAGATCTCACTGAATCGAATAATTTACAACTAGCGAGCTATATAATATCTTATTGCTGTGAGTTTGTGTTGATGCAGCTGTTGTGACATTAATATTATATATATATATATTAACTTGCGCTCTTAATAATATTTTCTCCTCCCCCATGCCAATCAAATCTGCATGCTAGTATATTTCGCGAATAATAATCGCGATCAGAGTAATCTCTCAATCGTCTCTTTTTAGTATTTTCTTTCTTTTTTCTGTAATTAATTATAACGCGTATATTTTCGTGTCGGGTGAGATTCCTCGAGAAATCCCCAGTTACGGCATCAATGTAATACAATTCCGTATGTCACAGCTCGATTACCTGCGCGATTGTTTGTGCGTGTGGCTAACAGACAATTGCATGCCTCGACAGAGTAACGTCAACAGTTCCCTGAGAGCGGACGCCGGCGGCAGGCAGGTGACACAGATTGGCGCATCCGGGTTGGTGCGAGTCTCCGCCGGCGAGCTTCTCGGCAGGACCCACGAAGAACTGGTGCTGCTGCTAATCCAATTGCGACGTCAGAACGCGACGGTCCTCAAGGCGATGGAGACGTGTCATATGGAGATCGAGGCGCAGGTCCGAAGAGAATTTTATACGCGCAATTTCGCACGAAATTTTCACAGTAATTCGATTATCCACCCGGACGATGATGATGACAGTGTGGTGAATCGTAGGCTCGTATTTGGCCCGTCTGTGGACAATGAGGATGCCGGTCGGTTCCTCGAGCTCGAGGAACGCTGGGCATTTAAACGATCGCTTTAACGTTAGAGAGAAAGTGATGATTCGCTTTGTGATGGACGACCGTGCAGTTTGACGAGATCTTTCAGAATGTGTTTGAATTAGATCGATGCAGATTGCGAATCTACGTGACGATGATACAGTATGAGCGATCGACGTTGTTTCTCTTGTCGTCGACGTAACGCAATATAATACTCGCGCGCGAATAACGGGGTTAAAACGAGGTTTAAACTTAAGGGATTAATCGTATTTGATTACATACTTTACGGATCTCTCTTTTGCGATTTGTAAAGTCTGATTAATTAAAAAAAAAAAAAGCGCGATACATTTGTTTTTAATATTTAAATTGAGAAATTGCAAATTTTATATGGAGAGTATATAGAGAGTTATATAGAGAGAATACAATCGTTTAACATTGTAGATCAGATGACTACATTTAGTACGAGATATGGAACGTAAATAAATACACGCTGTAATCCCGTAATGTACGAGATTCGAAGAGAAAGTCTAGTCGAACTTGGGGTCGCCTTTCTACGCAACTATGTGTCCGTTGCATTATTATTTGGCTTGCAATGAATGTCATGGAGCGACGAGTCGCTTAGCGAAAACGTTATGCGTTAATTGGCACGCGAGGAACGAAGAAGCTTATGATGTAGTGCGATAAACGTTTCGTGTATTTTGTTTGCATCAGCAGGCTAGACTGGCGGAACTCGACACACCGAGACGACTGGAGAATCTTCAAAAACTCGAGGAACTCAAGAGACACCTAATGGATCTCGAGAAGCAGGTGAGATACATTTATCGCGTGAAATACGTATTTCGTATTTCTGCAGAAATCTAGAATTATTTACGATATAGATGCGGAATAAAGGGCTCAATAATTTAGAAAGAAGAGGATGATAGTCAAACTCGTTTTTCGAGAATTCGAAAAAATTAATTTTGTTAAAGAGTCGAGAGTTTTTAAAAATTTAATTTAAATCATCGTTGCATCTTGAACCTAACTCTTCAGATTGGATTTTTCACACACATTTACAATGTTTGACAATATCAAATGAAAATATTATCAATTATTCATTATTTTATTTGTTGGTTCGATTTTAAAGGTGATTAATACTATTTGTCTATAAGCATTAATATATTAAATCATATTTATTAATACATAAATAAGAACTGCATTAATAATGCTTGGCTTTTTTAAACTAGTACGAGAAGAGCAAGCCTCTCGTGAATCTCGTGGATAATATGGTGAAATTGGGTTCCTTGTATAATCGTAACACTGCCAACGGGACCAGCAATGTTTCCGGTTCTCGCCACGATCTCATGCATGAAAATACGAGGGATCATCGCGACCGTCTGGAGTTTAATCAGAGAGTGCAAGAGCAACGATTGCTGGCCGAAGAACGCAGAGATTGGGACAGATTAAGTCCCGATCATGGACAGTTACAGGTATGATTTAATTAATTTTAATTAAAATGTTATTAAAATGCCTTGATTTAATTTTTAATTCATGCGAATCTATGGTGATGAAAAAAAATGGTTGCTTATTTGGAGTTAAATAATTTTTATTTGTGCAATATTAGAAATATTTTCTTTAAACTTGTTGTAGTAATTGAAAATATGCGATTCTACTATATAATCGATATGTAAATAATTTCAATTAACATGTTCTACATTTTAGACTTTACGTCAGATATTATTTATGAAATATGTTTGAGCATCTAGAATAGCCGTTTAATATTTCATTCGTTCCACTTTCTATTTTATATTTTCTATTGTTGCATTCTTGTCGCAAAGTAATACTCTGTGCTAAAAAGCGCACTTAGCGTAATGCGCATCGCGTTGGATGTCTTCAATGAAAGCAATTCCTGATCTCCCTTGTGCTATAAACACTAAGCGTATCCATGATGGGCAGATTGTAAAAAGCCGATTGCAAGAAAAGCGTACGTGCAAAAATTAAGAAACGACCCGCAGACATGACCACATGAGAGACAGAACTCGGACGACACTTACGACTTCTCGTAAATTCTACGAAGAGCTCACTTTACCATGGGATATATTTTCTAGGCGTCTCGAGTCTCTACGGACAATGTCCACTTAGTATCTTACGTCTCGTTTTCTTCTATTACCGCCGGAGCCCTCGAGAATTTTCGATATCTGCGCGTGACGCATTAAACTTAAACGAATAATTTAAACAATTTAATTAACGTTTTTTAAAACGTTTATTTTTTACTATGTAATTTTATTATATTATGATTGCATATTTTTCTACATTTTCTTCCTAATGATTATTTTATGTCTCTTCAAAGATAAGTTTTATAATTGAAGTTATATTAAAGATCATCTATAAAAATATAAAATATTTTTAGATATATTTATTCAAGAAAACAATATCTAAAAATTTTTTATATATTTTTTTGAAATCGTTAATATAATTAATTAACTAACTTTGAAAAGATATAAAATAATAAAAAAAGAAAATGCAGGAAAATGTGCTATTTTAATAAATTATGCTTTACTGATGGGACTATCGCTGCTCGAATATAAGATTATTGAAATATCAGCCTTTTTCTTCGTTAGTGGAAGGCTGAAGAGGAAGAGAATATATCCCATACACGAAAGAGCCTCATTCATGGGCAAGAATAGAGACAAATACCGAGAGAACAGAGGTTTACGTTGTTCTAGGATTAACGATGGCGGATCTCTCTTTTCCCGAGATTCGTTCTGGTTGAAACGCTACACCTAACTTGTCCCTTGAACAGCGAAACTTGAAGGCTTCGCTAGTTCACTCGATACTCTTTCTATGTTGCAGGCTAAAGTGCAGCAGCTTTACAAACTCGATCGATTGCTTCAAGAGGAATCTGGCACGCTGCACAGTCTCCAACAAGACAAGGTTGGTATTAACATCTACATCACAATAATGGCTATGATACTGCCCCCAGACCTTGAAACTGCTTGAATAATTTCAAGTATATTGTAGACGTCTAATTGATAGATATATAAAAGTGTACTGAGCTTTTTTTCTCTTAAAAAAATTTATTCTTGAAGACAATTCTATATCAAATACTTTAAATTATATTCTCCTTCTCATATTCTCAATGTGATATCTATTACATCTACAATTTAGGAGAATCGATGTGTCGTTATTCGCTTGGAATTGAAACGAATCATACGTTTAGATATAACGATAAGCTGCGAGATGACATGAATTGTCCTACTTCCAAAATATAGAAATCGCTGTAAATCGTATTAGATGCATGACTGATTTAATACGGTCGCAGGAAATACTCGAGAAGGCTTTGGGCGGGTTGCGGCATAAACTGCAAGGTAGCAGAAGTAATTTGGCCGAAGCCGAACGATACCGGAAGCAGCAACTTCTGTTGGAGCGCGAGTTGAGCAGAGTGCGGGTGTTGCTAGCTCACAATTCGAAGGTAGATAATTTTGAAAGCGTACCTGGGGCAGCGACTAATACATGTTCCTGTCTGTTCTCTCAATTACAAATTACGCGTCAATCCAAATTTTATAATGCGGTTAATCGCTGCTTCTCATTTTTTATGCTTTGCGCGATATTATAAAACGTAGAATAAAAGCGTATATATGAAAGCGTACTTTATTATTATCGATGTTTTTGCTAATAATAAATTTTTTGATTTAGAAAAAGAGAGTTAATCTCATCTATTAATAAAAATTTAATTAAAATAAATTATTTATGATATTTTTCTCTCGATTTTTTCGATGTACTTTTATTAAGTTTGTCTTTCATTGCTTTTGACTCTTTGCAATGAATCTGCAATATCGTGAAAATAATAGTAGTGATATATTTACATAACGAAAATAGAGAACGCATAATTACGTTATTTCAATTAAATATTCGATTCATTGTTTCCAGGTAAAACCGGTATTCTTCCAGGTAATTTGCATTATTCACAACACATTATTCATTTTCAGTTCTGCCGTTCGTTGTTTATTTGCCATTCTCGTCGTGCAACGCGATCGCCTATCATTCATAATCGCGCATTTTCATTCTGATAACCTTGATAACGAATTTTACATGGTTTGCAGAAACTTGAGGAGACAGTAGCCGAAAATGCGAGATTGGAGCAAGATTTAGTGGTATTGAGGCAAAAAGTGCAAGCGTCCAGAAGATACGCCGGTAATGTGGCGCGAGACACTTCGAGTACGACCGCACCGCTGGAAGCGGAATTACGACGAATGCAACAACTTGTCGGCGATCTGCAGAGACAAAGGAAGGAATTGAGCATTCAAGTTCGCCAACTGACAGAGAAATCTCACAGTTTGGTGCAGCAAATTCGCCCACAGCCTCTACATGGTGAGTTTAAATGTAAAATGTAATACGCGTTAAAATCATTAGACGCATTAAAAATTTAACAGCTACAAAATATAATTATAATTAATCGTAAATTATTTCCATTAATAAATATATATATCGTTAACAAAAGATATATACAGAGAATATTTGTTATATTTATTATCACTTATTAAATTTTAATATCAGGACATGTATTTTCTCAAAAATGCTTTGTTAATTTAATAATATGATCAAAACTGCATTTTTTCTCAGCTCCCCAGGTACATCATCCGAAAAAGCGTACGCAAAATTCTTGGCTAGAAACCGACTTAGATTCTGGAATAACCCTGGATCACGGTTTAGACTCACCATCAAGTCCATCTTTATCCATTTCACCTCCGAATAAACAAAACGATAATTCTCATCAACGATATGGCTCTCCTACGCAGTACAAGGATTTATCTCCGTTAAATCGCCTACAAAATCAACAATCTTTCGCGCAACCCTCCCAAAATCACATATCGGCGCTTTCGCCGCAATTGCGCGAGCAGATTCAACAACATCAATTAAAGCAACAATTACTGAAAGATCAAATGCAAGGAAAGGGTAGCGCGATCCAAGTGGCGCCTTTATACGTTAATACAGATTCTAGAATAACAGGTATATATTCGTTGAGCGATGTATAATTTTATAATATCATATGAATTGAAATAATGTCTTAGTTATATCAAAATTAAAATTATATATGTTGAAATATATACATGCTTATAAATAACACAAGAAATGATTAGAATTACATGATAATTTTTTTTATAACGTATGACATATTTACTTATTAATCTATCGTTTTTAACGCAAGGCGATTACGTTGCCGATACGAGCAAGCACAATGGAAACATGTTGAATGGCACGCCGAATTCCGCTCCGGAATATATTCCGCCGCCGCCACCACCGCCGCCGTCTTTGAATGAGGAGACATTACTATCGAACGACAATTATAAACAAAATGAGGACAACAAATTCGCCGGTAAGCCGTCTGTTTTATCGCAGACAAAATTTTAAGCTTTTCGCGAATCGAAAATTTCATTATCTCTGTTTCGCGTTTGCAGGATTAATGCACAATCGTGAGAAGCAAGAGATCAAGACGGTGCGTATAGTAAAACGCGAATCGGAAAGACGACAAAGGGATCGCGGCGATAGAACCGGCAATATTGGTATTCCTCTAACAAACGGTCTTCAAGCACCAGGCGGCGCAAAGAGACTATGCGACGATGACTTGGGAGGTTCCCAAAAATTCGAAGTAAGTCGCTAATATAGACAAAAATAGTACTTTCCTTTTTTATATAATCTGTCTAAAGTATATCATACTTTATCTGTATTTATGCAAAATTACGAGTTAAAATAAATAAAGCAATTAAATCTAATAAAAATACAAAAGCATCAATTTTTTATTTGCTACGTGTGTGCCAACATAAATTTTTTAACATTTAGAAAGCTCAACTGGGTAAAGTAGTAGAGGAATCACCATCGATCATTCACGCGCAAAGCACGGTTCAACTATCTGAGCTAGACGATGTTCAGTTCCAAAGAAGCATGTCTCTACCGCGTGGTTTCGGCGGACAAAAACAGTATTCTGGGATACACTACGGGCCAGTGGTACCTCCACCACGCAGCGACAGCATGCATGCTCTGAAGAGCATGATGGCGCGGCGACATAAAATTAGGGTAAGCCCCAGGTAGCAATGTCAAGCAATGCCTGAAAAACGCGACGCGATGGAGTTCCAGATCATCCTATAGAGCTAAATTTTATTTCCCCATGCTTGATATTTGTTTTTACGAATATGATTTTATTTTATCTCGCCGCTGTCATCTCGTCCATTCATTTTGGTTAATCCTGTTTAGTATTCTATATTTTTTTTTTTGACGTTCAATCGCAGTTTGAAAGTCACGACGGCAGTTCCGATAGCACTTTGTCGCCGTACACGGACAGCCCTACGTCCAGTTCATACGTGCCGATGAGTTCACCCAACTATTCCACCGCATCGTCGTATAGCCCGAATCAGAATCAAAATTATACGCCGCAAGCGGCGATGATCACCACGCAGCCTCATTATCACAACCACTCGTTCGGACCATCGTATAGACAATTTGATAAAACCGTGACTCTCGCGGATACTGTGAGCTCCGAATTAACATCGTCGACTAACGCTGGCGTTCACGATGCGCGACTGGTCGCTGTCGCAACGTCGACGAATGCAAACCAATCCGAATCACCACAATTGTCGCCGGTGTTCAAAAGCGAGGCTGCCAAACAGATTATCAAAGAAATGACCGAGAAGAAAGTGGAAGGACCGAGACGACGACAAATACCGCGGGAGAAGAGGCGGCACTATACTGTGTCTAGTAGTAAACCGGTGCTCGACTTAGAAGATACTTTCTCGAAGATGGTATTTTTTGTTTTAATTAATTTTCGTTTTCTCTCTTTCTCTTTCTCTCTTTTTTATTTCCCTGTCTTCGTCTACCTATATTTCGCTTTATTTATCTGACGTTGATTCTCGGTTCATTCATTTCATTATATCATGCTCATAACAGCTTTGAAAACTGTGGACTTGCTTGTAACGAGAATCTCTGATAATTTTCAGGGCATGGGCAGAGCTAGAGATGATTTGGATATGGAAAGAGCGCTCAGACCCAGAATAAACGCCCCTGATGTGGTGCGTTCGACGTTAAGTCACAAAGAGTTGAAGTATAATGAGAGTACTATAGATCAGCTATTAGGCACGCCCAACAAAATTGTTATCCCCGAGCGATATATTCCCGAACAGGTATAACATTAATATTTTTGAACTGAACATGTATAAAAAAATTATTTTAACCAAACTCTGTTTTTAACGTAACAATTAAAAGACCAAAAAATTATATTGTTGGAAATTTTTAATATTTATATTTGTAAAACTTGCTAATTTCTTTCAAAATTCAATATAAATATATTAAATAAAAGTAAGAATTATTTGAGTCACACTTTATTTCTAATATAACAACTAGAAAAATCTAAAAGATATTGATATAAATTTATAATCTTTTTTTGGCGGGTTTAAATTAAATAAATTCAATTTTTCAGATATATTATATACATATTATTAATCTTTTAGACACCAGAGCTAACAGCGGAAGAACAGCAACAGCGCTTTAAAAAGGCAGAAGCGATCAGGAAAATGCTTTCAGAAACAACTGTGACTGCACCGGAAGGAGGTGGTATGTAATATTCTTTTTCTTATAATTATCTCTTTAGTATTTTTTAACATTGAAGATCTTTATAAAATATATCTTTATAACTTATATTTCATGTATGGTTTTAGACGATGATTCTAATGTAGAAAAATCAGATACATTAAAACGAAAAGTGGTGGAAGAAAAGCGACAGAGAGAACACATTCTTCAACTTAATCAGATATTGGCGAAGCAAGTGATGGAGAAAAGTAAAATGGTAGCAGGTACATCAATAACATATCACATAACATGATTTTCGCATGATTTTAATCGTAGAGCTATGGCAGCATGTTTGTTTCATTTAGCTTTCAAGAAATAAAGGAGATTCTTTTTTACTTTGTTCAATCAATGCAATCGATACAAAGTTTTTATATTCTTTATATCACATTGCTTACAGAATCGTTTCGTTAAATCTTTCCATGTTCATTTGATGGTTCGAGCAATTTACACTATATTATCTCGGTCACATATTTTTCTCATAGACGCGGACGCGCATGTTTCAATTGAGTTACGTCGTTCTACGATATTTTAATGGCTTTTGTTCGACACAATGAATATATAGTTTTATCTTAGGAGTGTTGTTTGGATTGTTTTGTGCTTGTGTATAGGTAACCAGGCACACTGACTGACATGCTTACTACATCCCTCCCTATAGGATACGCACGACATATTATCATTTTCAGGTTTGTTTATCACATTTTTCATTTTTGTTCATCTTTTTTCTTCTATTTTTCTCCCTAATCAAGCTATACAAATCAATCGCAGTTTTACATTTCTGCCAATATATGTTTGTTAAAATAAAGCTGGTGTATTGCACAAATTCAAATAATTTGCAGGAATAATAAAAATGGTAAAAAATAAAAGTAGATAAAATAGCAAAACGTAGCTTCACTTTTAATAAAGCTTTAGCGATAAACTTTCAGTACTGATTTTTATGATTAATCGTGATTCATTGACAGTGAAAGCTCTGGCAACGCTTCCTCTGAAAACTGAATCGAGTTTAGATGATGAGGATCTCTCGCCTGTGGCTCCTTTACCACTTTATCAGCAAAGGGAAAACTATTACACGTAAGCATCATTTCAAGAGCACAAGCGACACTACTGCCAATATGATGAAGAAAGAGAAAAGAGAGAAACAAGAAGGAACTTCTTCCGAGGATTTAGTTGAGAAGCATGCGAAAATTGATGCATTATACAGGAAAAAGTGCTTTTTATTTGCATTGAATGCAATTGTACATAATCATTGACTAAATAAAACGATAATAAATAGCTGTCATATTTGTTAACGATAAGGATTCGTAATAAAACAATTACATACATATAAAGAAATGTTAATTAATTTAGACGCAGGCGGCGACTCTCTGCGTAATTGAAAGAATTGTTGAGTATGTTATCAGACTGAATATCTCTCATAATTCTCTTAAATAAACTTATCAGCGTTGCGATTTATTATCATTTTTTATCGATACTGACATTCAGCATTAAATAAGCGTTACTTGTCGGATGACAAATTTTAAACGCGTGACGAATTACCGGATAATTATATCCGTCTTTGAGAAACTTTTTATCGCGTCTGTTCGCAATCGAAAGTTCATTTTCGAAAGTTTTCAAATTGATGCGTATTTTATAAGTATACAAGACTATTATCTCGATTGAGAGAGAATCTGATTTGGATACCATTATTCGTATCTCTCGTTTTACGTATGTACAATCATTTTCACGATTTTCATGAACTTTTATATTGATACAAGCGAGCGATGAAATTACCGCCACCAAAGCCTGAACGAAGTTAGTAACTTTAGATTTATAATAGCGCGCGACAAAGGCTCTTTATTTTAGTAACGACATCGATTCGTGCATGCAAATCGGAAAGAAAAGAAATAGTTATACGAGTAACTACCAAAATGTCAAAAGCGCTAAAATATCGAGCCTTTCTTAGACTTTATTCGCCGAACTCGAAAGGACAACGGCACCGACCGCGAAAATTACCGTGTAATTAGATTGTGTAATTAGATTGTAACGAACGCATGATATACATACGCTTTTAAAGCGCCCGTTGTATACATATATATATATATATATATATGTACGATTTTTCACGGGCCATTGTAGCATGGCATATTAATGTTCAGAGCAGTCGTAACAGTCGTAACGAGTGCCAAATTTCTCATAATGACGAACAACAACGAGCGATTAAAAAATCGTCACAGTATCGACTAAGCGAAATATTGCAAGCCGATAAAAGATGCGATATACAGCGTTTATTATAAAAATAAAACTCGCGAAAAAAAACGAAACTCGTATGCAATTATATAATACTTTGTCATCATCATTAATTCTTTATTCATAATATCATTAATATCATTCTCCTTAATTCGTATTTCATCGATATTTCAAGTCGAACTTGATCCTTTGGGCCTACATCTCATGGATTATCTCGTGGATTAGTAAATACAATTATTTGATACAAAATATTTCAAAATATAAGTATAGAAATGGTAAAGATTTTTCAAAAATGTTTACAGCTAATTTAAATTTCGAATTATTAAACTTTGAAAGGCATAAAAAAGCAGAAATTTATAATATTTTTAATATATTCTCTTGAATATATATATTCCTTTTTCGGAAAAAAAAAATTATTTTTCAGTCGTTGACCGCGCGACAAAAAAATTCGAAATCAGCAGCCGGAAAAAGATGAAGAAATCAATGCTGTGTAATTTCATAGAAATAATAGAAACTGATTGAGACTGATCGAATATCCATGGGATATCCTATCCGATGCTGTAGGGATGATTCTCGATTCTCTTCATTGCCGCCCTCGAGCATCTTTTGCAATTTGGCGCGCGCGAACCACACTACAGAATTCTTATTGTTAGCACAAATTTTTATATAACGATATATATCTCTACGCGCGCGATACACTGTTGTCACTATGTAACACTTATTTCCAACACTAATGCGCATCTATTGTACATAATCGTGCACAATATAACGCGAGGCACTCTCGATAAAACTGGAAAAATACACTCTCCTTTTTGAAGACGTGACGCACTTTGCAAAAGTCCACGAAGTTGACTTCGCATGCGCGCAAAATGGCGACGATTATCGATAGTGTCGCCACCTTGCGATATCGACGCAATCGCGCGCGCATTTTGATTTCAAAAGATTTCGATCCCGCTCCGTAAAGTCCTGCAAACGAAACGTTTTTATCGCGTGGGATACTCGAATATATCCATAAGCGATTGATACTATTGAAAAAACACTATGCGAAAATTAATCACGAGAAAAAGAACTGTTATTGTTATAATGATGAAATAAAAATAATACAGCAAAAATCGATGAAACCAGCTTTCCCAGACAGCACACAATATTTATATAAAAATATGTACAAAATATTTTGTATTACTGTCTTTGATCATTTAATGTTGACTGGTAAAATGAGCTTAAATTATTTTGATACCCTGTCAAAGCGTCTATTTTTTATAATACATTATTATATTAATATAATTATTAATATAATAGGAAACTATTTAAATTGTAAAAAAAACTATTTGTATGTTATTACTTACTTTTAACACAATTTTTCTGAATATATTTTCAACTACTGTTTTGAACTTCTACTGTCGACTTCTGTTGGTGAACACAGAGAGAGATGTTAAATTTCAAGTGCTGATAACAAAAGCAAAGTCGCCAAAAACGGGTCGCGGCTCAGCAGTAGAAGGGATAACGCACACAAGCATAAACCGCAGAGCGCTCTGCGCATCAAAATTTAAATTCAAAATTAATAATAATTAATAATTATAAAAATAAAGAGGCTATTTTATTTTAAATTGAAATCTGAAATAAAAATAATATTGCACAGTATTATTTGTCTTTCTTCAAGTACTTTTATATGTATATATATATATGTATATCACAGATATATGTATTACAAATATCACATTTTATACTCTATTAGTAAAAAGTATGATAAAAACTGAAATATATATAACAATATAATAATTATATATAACTAACATGCATATATTTTAGCTAGATTAGTGTCATTTTTGGCTAGATGCAAAAAAATTAATGCAAAATAAATTTTTGTTATTTGTTATAAAAATGTGTTTCTTCTCATATATTTAGTGCATGCTTCGTAAATTTAGAATTAATTGTAAGTGGGATTGATAAATATATATATGTATAAAAAGAGGTCAAAGAAGTTGGAGATTGGACGATTGGAGGTCATAAAGATAGATCAGACGACCAGGACCAGGCACGACGTTGCTGGACGTGGAAAATGGCGCATATAATAAGATCCAAGATTATGCTCTTATCATTGAAATATACCAATCGTGTCGCGTCGCGTGTTTTCGTGCCCTTAAAATATCAGCGATTATGTTTCCACACTAGCAGGATTCTCGATGGTATGATATTTATTCAGAAACAACGACTTTTTTCTTGTAATGTCAATCTCAATTTGGAGGTTATCTCTCAAAAGATATAAAGTTAATTGAAAGAATTTTTGAAAAATGAAGCTTTCTCGTTCACGATGTAAATGCAAGAAAAAAGAAGAATGCAAAAAATAAATTTGCGATATAATATTTAATAAAATAAATCTTTTGTAGCGCTTGATAGAAATAAGTTTCTTTGTACTCTTGATTATGCAATCAAATGTTTTAATTTATGCATATTGTTGAAAATATCTACAAAAATATTCATACGTTTTCACAATAACATGTTGACACAGAGATATTTTCTTTCAGTAAAAGGAAAAGAACTATTAATGCCTTCCTTATCACCTACTATGGAAGCTGGTACTATAGTAAAATGGTTTAAAAAGGAAGGCGATAGTATTAACCCTGGCGATGCTGTTGCGGATATTCAGACTGACAAGGCTATTGTCACAATGGAATTTGACGACGAAGGTGTATTAGCCAAAATAATTGTAAGTCAAATCATCAAATATAGTAACAAATCATGTTGAAAAAAATTGCAAACAAAATTAAATGAAAGGTATTATTTAGGTACCTGAAGGAACAAAGGATATCACGGTAGGAACTTTGATAGCTCTCACTGTTGAGGCTGACGAAGATTGGAAAACAGTGGAAATGCCAGACAAGCCAATGGTAACTCCTCCAAAAATAACAGCAGCAGCTCCTGAAACCCCAGCTGTTACAAAAGTTGAAGCACCACCACCTGGCCAGTATGATCCTTTAATGAGCACATTTTGTAATTTGCTTTAAAAAATAATGTTAAAGTCATGCTTATATTTTTTATGCTTGAAAGTCTTGCTCAAAGTTATAGCATTAAATTGCTATTGAATTATTCATCTGTTATTTTCAGGCAATATATTTCTATGCCTGCCCTCTCACCGACCATGACAACAGGTACAATTGTAAAATGGCTGAAGCAAGAAGGTGATGAAATACAACCAGGCGATGCATTAGCAGATATACAGACAGATAAAGCCATCATGACTTTCGAATTAGAGGAAGAAGGTGTACTTGCAAAAATTCTTGTATGTATATTGAATTTTTTTACATTATATAAATACAATTTTGTATAAAATATTTTTACATTCCTTAAACTATATTTATTGCTGTTTATTAGATTCCAGAAGGATCTGAGGTAAAAATAGGACAATTGATAGCTGTTACAGTTGAGAAAGGAATGGATTGGAAACAGGCTGTTATCCCAACATCGACTAAACCAGATGCACCTGTGGCACCAAGTTCTGCTCAACCAACTGCACCAATCGATGCAAAACCACCATCAAGTGGGCAGTATGTGTGATTTCTTCATTATTTTATATAGATAAATTAATCTTATTTATTTTTCTCTATTATCCTCAAATTTACAAACATAAAAAAAGCTTTATTTTGATGTATACTATAATTACTTAATACATATTACATAGAGTATATGGTTTGGCGGTGAAAAGATTGCTAGAGGAATATGGCCTGAATTCTGATTCAATCAAAGGTACTGGACGTACCAATCGTTTATTGAAAAGCGACGTCCTTGTATATATTCAGACGCATAACATTAGAAAGGTTACACCTAAGTCCGGTAAATACGATGCCACACTAGATTAAATGCTATCTGTTTTTGGAATAGATCTGCTTTTATTTTATGGATATTTCTTTGCAGCACCAGCTCCGAAGACTGATAAAGCACGTTCTCCTAGTCCAGCAAAAACACCCGTTCCCCCTGATCAGCCGTCTCTGTACAAAGATATCGCAGTATCCAACATTCGCGCCGTTATTGCTAAACGACTTAGCGAGTCAAAAGTACGGTATTACAAACATTTTTAATAAAATTTAATTACCTCATATTTAATTTAATTGAAACAACTTTTCTCTTCCAGAGAACTATACCGCATTCTTACGCGATTATAGACATAATTATCGACAAGTTGCTTGAGCTCCGTGGAAAACTGAAGACAGAGGACATAAATGTATCAATTAATGACTTTGTTACTAAGGCTGTTGCTCACGCGCTTATCGAATGTCCCGATATAAATACATTGTATGAAAATGAACAAGTTAGTAGTACGATTAATTCGTTTAACATTGTATATAATTGCGTAAAAATATGTAATTCAATTATACAATATAAACAATTGACTATTGTTAGGTTGTTCGAGTTTCAAAAGTGGACGTATGTGTAGCAGTCGCAACATCAACAGGTCTTATTACGCCCATAGTATTCGACACTGCCACTAAAGGCTTAGCAGATATTTCTAAAAACATTCGGGAATTAGCCGAAAAAGCGAGAAACGGAAAGCTTAAACCACACGAATTTCAAGGAGGAACATTCACGTAAGCCTTAATCAAAAATATATAAAAGGAAGAATCTAAAAGTACAGACAGTTTTTATGCTAATATATAAATTTTATTATACAGAATTTCAAATTTGGGAATGTTTGGTATCAAGGAATTTTCAGCCATTATAAATCCTCCGCAAACTGCTATTCTTGCTGTAGGCTCAGTACATGAAGAACTAGGTAATTTTTTTACGAAAAGTATTTTGTGTGCAGCATTCTTTTTCTCTTATAACTAATAATTGTAACTTCTTGCAGACTCCTCATTAGCAAAGATAACAAAAATGACAGCCCAACTATCTTACGATAGACGAGCAATTGATGAGGATCAAGCAGCTAATTTTCTGGCTATTGTAAAAGCAATGTTGGAAGATCCAACTTTTCTAGTAGCTGGAAAGACACAAGCATTGAGGTATAAACGTGATACGTATTAATTATTTTTAATAAAACAATTGAAAGTGTTTTATTGCAAAAACAGCTTGTTCTCTTGCTTATAACGAGAGAATTAAATATCATTGATTTTATGTAACAATGCTACTGTGCTTTTTAAAACATAGAGATTTGGAAAAAAACTCAATATTAATTTGTATTATTGCATAATATATATAATTGTTGGCTGTTTTTGAAATAAACATAGAAAAAGATAGTCAATATCAGTTATATTTTTCGGGTATATTGTTAAATATAAAAAACTCAATTTATATAAAAACATATTGCAAATAATATTATTTATTGCTGTTATCAAACTTTGTGATTCAAGAATATAATTTATATATTTATACTGCCAAAGAAAAATATTTAGGACAGTTAATATTTGATACATAAACATAGTCTCATTTATGATGTTTATTAATTATTAGTAGTAAAAATAAATTAAAAGTTAAATTAAATATTAATTTTTCTTATGAGGATGTCAAAACATTCATATTTTACAGTCCAACAATAGTTAAATTACTTGAGATTAATATCAAAAAATTTGAATGATAGAGAATAAGAATGTTTATTTTTTATCTTCTTTATTTAGATCTTTGTAAATAATTAGAGTATTATGTAAAAATTCTTTCTATCTTTTGTAAATATCTGGAAATTATTAGCTCTATGAGATATAACATGTGGAAACCATATAAATATGTACACAATACATTTTCTCTCAGTCATGTCATAAAATATAAATCTTTATTATATAATTACATTATAAACGTTTAAAAAGTTTATATCCAGAAATTCTTAAAAAATTTATTGGGTAAACCACATGTATGGTGTTTTCATTATATTATATATATATAATTAAATGACTCATTTGTATATATAATGTAATAAATCTGATGAATAGAATTATATTCGGTTAGCTTAAAGATATATATATATGAATAAAAGCCATAAATTCACGTGTTGTAAATAAAATATTTATTACTTAAAATGCGTGGTATTTTTCACCAGTATATCTGTAAACATTAATCTTTTTCCCTAATACATAAATCAATAATATAGCATGAATTTTGTACAAATATTTAATTTTTGTTATATATAACATTATATCTTATTATAATTGATAATAATATTTTTATATGTGTCTGTTTGTACATTAGTTAAAATCGTACGTGTTTGTTTAATAAGGCACACAAATGTTAGAATACTCTATAATACATCCTTCGCATTTCATTTTGGCCTTTTAAATACTTTTCTCGAAATCTATGAGTATAAATCCTACAAAAATTTAAAAAAGTCGATAATGTGTTTCTTATTGAAAATCGTGCAAATGATTACAATACTATATAAATATATTCGCTTATATGCATGTTATTTTTTAACGTTCCATGATTGACAAATAGTGCTTGGCCAGCTTATATTGTATAACATGTAGCAATTGTATTTCAAACTGTTGTCTCACAATTGGATATTTTCAGTATTTGATAATTTATCTTAATATAATTTTTATGGTATTACTTGTATGGGGTATAGAGCAGAAAAAGTATAGTATGACTTAACTTTCTTGCTTATCACAGTCGTGATTTTATATATACTTGATATTACTGCTCAAATTTTTTTTATCTTAAATGTCTAAACATTCATTCTTTAGAATAATCCCATTACATACGTAGATAGTGCATTATAAACCTTTTTTTTATAGAACATTAATGTATATACATATCAATTATAAAATATCTATATGAATATAATATTTAGTTGAGCAATATTGCGCTCTTAAATAAAAGTTTTCAAAAAGAATATATGTTATAAAAGAGAGTGGAGGTAAAATCTTATAAAATTATGTATTATCGCAATAATCTTAAAAGGATGCATTGTACAATGCTTGCTATGTCACACTCGATTCATAATACTTAATTTTAGACATTATTTGTCTTTTATGATATTAAACAAGGGGTTGCTCAATTTCATATTTGGAACTTTTAGAAAGTTGATTTCATACATGATTAATAATGATTTCTCGATATAAACATGTTCAATTCTACTGTTTTGTCCCCTTAACAGCTAAAGTTTAATATTTTATTTGCTGACAGCAGAGATTATATAACTGATTCTAATATTGTCTTCCTTGATATATATATATTTTTCTAATACATATAGTATTTCTGTTCCCACAGTGATCTATATAAGTACAGTTTTAAGAAAAAAATTACAAAGTCCTGTTATATATCTTTTTTTTGTGACAGTGCTATAAAAATACAGTATATAAATGTATATATTCCTCTTATCTCTCAAAAAAGATATAAAAATTGCATTCTATCCACAATTGTTTACAACTAGAATATTCTGTTGCTATTATTGTTTTGATAAGTATTGCATTTGAATAGTAACATATAGTGCATTAATAGATTATTGAGCGAAATACTTGAATAAAAACCTAAATTACAATAAATTGTATTGCACATAATAAGATAAACTCTTTAGAAATTAAAATTGGAAATAGATATATCCACAAAGTATTTATATATCCACATACTATTTTGTCACAATAATTACAAGTAAATAAGAATAACTAATTGGATTCTTTGTGAATAAAATAATCTTAAAATGACTATCAAAAGTGCACTATATGCTTTGGTTTCCAAACCAGCATAGTAAAAATAACAGGCAGTCAAATAAGCTTAAAATTAATAATTAAAATCGGATAATAATCATGAAATACCTTTTTTTTAGCCTTCAATATAATATAAAGAGTGATGGAGCATGAGCCAGTATTATGAATACAACTTGGAATTCTGTAGAAATATTTAATGGAACGCTTTCTGGAGAATTTTCTGCGCCGCACGAATCAATGGAGTAAGTGTGGATAATTCCGCGCAGTTTTCTAAGAATGGATGAGAAAGTAATTCATCAGCGGTTGCTCTTTCATCGACTTCTACAGCGAGGCATCTCTCTAGAAAATTTTGGAACGTTGGGGTGAGATTATCCCATCTTGGAATGGATGGTTTACCAATGGCAGCGATCAAATATAACGCTCTCAATGGTGTTTCTTTCATATAAGGTGGTTCTCCTTCTATCATTTCTATAGCCATTATGCCTAGTGACCAGATATCCACTTTCTTGCCGTACTGTTTTCTCGTTACTACTTCTGGTGCCATCCAGTATGGAGTACCAACCATAGTCTGTCGTTTTTCATCACCATCAATATTAGCACAAAAACCAAAATCTGTAACTTTCACCGCACCGTTCATTCCCAATAGCACATTATCCGATTTAATATCCCTGTGAATAATACCCCTAGTGTGCAGGAAGCTTATCGCTTTGAGGACTTCTCTGCAAACGGCTGCAATTTGAACTTCCTTCATCACAGTCTCAGTGACCACATCTGTGAGCGGTCCACCTTCCAGTAACTCCATAACTACCCAAAGATGTTCGTCGACGAGATAGGCATCGAGAAAATTCACCAGGTTTGGATGATGAAACTCCTTGAGAATTTTGATCTCGGTTAATATCAATTCTTTTTTTGGCTGCTTGGACAAATCTATATCCTTTATAGCTACTTTCCGATTGTGTTGAAGGTCGGTAGCTATGAACACAGTGCCCGAAGCACCGGCACCCACCTCTTTAGTTCTTTCAAAACGCAAATGAGGATCCCCGCGTTGACAGATAGCCCTGAGTTCCTCGTATATCTGTTCGTCACTGAGTCTCACACCAATACACTCGGTTTTCCTACGCAGAATGGGGCTCTCCTCGATTCTACTCGACGTAACATCTTTCTCTGATGATAAATCGTCATCTATCTGATACGTATTCAAATCTTCCAGTATCTCGGTGAGCGTTTTCTCCACCCGATCGTTGCACTTGCGCGGCGCCGGTTTTGGCGGTGGTTTCGGCGGTTTGTTGACTTTTGGCGGCAACTCGGGTAACCTCTGCGCTTGATCGCCCGTAGATTGTCTCTCGGAGATCAAGCCGTCATCGGAGCCATCCGATTGATACTTCTTGGTCAGAATATTGTCGATTTCCTGCGACTCTTCCTCGATCAAGTCCTGCGTGACGAATGGCTTGAAAACCTCTTGATCTTGCGGCTTCCGCTTGATCGAATAGTTGTAAAACTTGATCGCCTGGAGCGCGGCATCGGGATGCTCGTCCTGCTCCGACTTGGAGATTTGCGTGTTGAGTAAACGTATCCACGGGTCCGGCAGACCCTCCAACTGACCGGTCTCCGCATTCTTGCTCACGTGGAACTTGTGCGAGACGTTGGTTGGAAAACCGATCTCCGTGACTACGGTGTCAACGGGACAGCTCTTCTTTTTCGAGAAAAGCTTCGTCAGGCTGAGACTCATCTTCGGATTCCCCCCTGTGTTTATCTCGCGCGCGATTCTCGAAAATAAGAAAAAGGAGGGAGAAGATACGGATGATTCGCGAGCTCAATTTATGATAATACTCGTGCTAACTAATCTCGTATCGCTAACATCGCGAATTTTCACGCCCGATTGCACACTGGCAGACAGGACGAACATTCTTCAGTATTGCCAGTTCGATGATTTCTCGTGTCACCAAACGTGCGATGAGCGATAACTCTAGTTGGTATCGCGAGAAAAATCGTTTGCGAGAAAAGTCGATTACTCGCTGCGTATTCGATAGTTTGAATCATAGCATATAAAAATACACACACATCTGTGGTATATACCTTAAACACACATACACACATACAAAGTAACATCTATAATACATCTTTATATAATATATAGATACATTAGATATATATATATATATTTTTATAATATATCTTTATATAATATATAGATACATTAGATATATATATATATTTTTATAATATATCTTTATACATAAAATACATCATATATCTTATATCATAAAAATATGTAGCTATAATATCTATTATATGTCTATATACACACCGCTCATAAGTATTTCTCTACTCGAAGGTCTTAAGTTATTATGTAAAAAGAAAAGAATCCTGAAATATTTGTAGCTTTTTTACAGTCTTAAACAAGCATAATTACAAATAAAAATTTTTTTATTTTTTAATAAAAGGGCCACACTTTCCATTATATCGTTCAATTTCAAGTGCGTAGCGTTCAGTTCTTTCAACACTTGCTTCTGAAAGTCTAAAATTTACAAACTAAATTAGTAGTATTTTTAATTATAGCTACGAAAATAGTTGATATAATATTTTTCTAGGCCCAACATCGAAAGTTGGCTTTTATAGCTATCAGTTGTTAATAAAAAATTAACCGCTGAGCGAGCAGAAAAGTCATTGCTGCTCGCCAAGCTAAAAGTAAATTTTTCTGATAGGTGACAAAAAACAAAAATTAAGATAATAAATAATTGTAGTTCTTTTTAGTCACAAAAATGTGGTCTTTTTATTACAAAATAATCTTTTTATTACTCAATTAGTTTAAAAACAATTTGCTCGACATGTTTCGACGTTATAATATGTTATTCTTATATCATTGTCAAGAGCTTAAAATAAAAAACGGATAAACTTAATCATGAAAATCTTAAATTAGAAATCTCTTCTAATAATTTAATTGTTGTTAGAACGCAACGATTTTCAGTTACTTTACTTTCAATTTTAATCAACAATGTATCCTTAAACCGTGTTTATTTTATTATTATTTTAATTTATTGACTATGGAGAAATTTTATCTCTCTGTGACAGATGTGACATATAAGATTTTCACGATTAAGTTTATCCGCTTTTTATTGTGAACTCTTAACAATGATGTAAGAATGACATATTGTAATGTTGAAACATGTCAAGCAAATTGTTTTTAAACTAATTAAGTAATAAAAAGATTATTACCACATTTGTGACTAAATGACTACAATTGTTTATTACCTTATTATATTACACGATCACTGCAATAGGATTTAGAAAATCAAAAACAAAAATACCTTCTAGCATGGCCAACTTCATACAGAAACGATCTAGCATGGCTAACTTCATACAGAGAATAGACAAAAGTGAGTATGAGTATTTTCATCTTCTTTTTTTCTAAAAAAGTCTATACTTTCGATGACGGCTGTAAAAAAAAATAGTACTATTTTTTATGCTTCGAGCGTAAAATGACTTTTGTGCTCGAACATGTTTGCAGCGCTCGCCCAAAGTATCATTTTCCGCTCTTAATACAAAATGTACTATTAAAGTGTTAATTTACCTGTATCTATTCTTCGAGGAATTTTACATTCAGTTGTCGATTTAGTTACGATCTCGATTGGCAGATTTTGAACAAAGTTTTTATCTAAAGGAACAATAAAATTAATTATGATAGAAACCAAAAAATATTATTTCTAGAGAAAATAAATGTTTACCATTTGTTATAAGGGCGCTTGGAGAGGGATAAATATTAGTATCTGATTCAGACCGTGACAAATCAGAAGATTCGATATCGGACAAATGTTTCGTCGATTTGTTTTTTTTTCTTTTCTCGTTTACTATGTCGCCGTTTCCTAAATTCATCATTTTGCGACAAAAGATCAGACGTCTATTTGGCCTTATCCGCTTTTCGTTGAGCAACAGATAGATCTTCTAAAAACAACAATGAAGATTTTTATCCATTAGTAATGTTACGTACATGTATGTATTCAAACACGACAAAAGTTTATTCAATTAATTCTTTCTTTTGCGTATCTCGACATTACACATTTAAAATATGCTAATTTGCAATTTATTTTAATATATTATTCTGTGACAATGTTTAATTCACTCAGGAAATAATACGTAGTCTCCATATTTTTTTATGAACTTTGCATTATATTGTAGATATAGTATAAAATAATCAAAAACTCGAATGAATTATGAAGGTAGAATTATATATTTTGCGTATAATTGCATCTTATAAACTTAAACTTTTTTTTCTATCATTTTTATAATAAATAGAGGAAATAATTTCGAAAATTTTGTCATTAACAGATATGTTAAGCGTTTTTGTAATTATACTTCAAATTAGTTTTTAAAGAAAATTAATTTTTAACTAGTCATTATAGATACATCATAATTAATAGTGATTAAATTAGAGGAAGAAGCTTCGTGGATGCAACTTTTCGCGAATTTGTATAATCTATAGTGGAAAAATTGCATTCCGTATTGACGCAGTCGCTGAAATAGAAATGTGTACATTACACGAGATGTGTTAGTCAACACGGAACGCAAAAAGAATTTTCTTTCTTTATTCTTACCTTTTGGCCTATGTTAATCTGAACGTTCTCTGACATTAAGCACTACGCGATTCGCAGTGACGTAGAATAGATCATTGGCGTATGCATATATGTTTCCTGTTCTTATCATAACTATTGTTTAAACGAAATAATGGATAAAACACATATCACACAGAATGAATGACATCGTTCGTCTATGAATTGATTTTTGACAGGATGAATAGGAGAAAAAAAAATGTGTAACTCCAATATATTGAAACCATCTTTATATCTTAATCATATGAATCGGACATATTATATTATTCATAATCTTGCCTTCATTATTTGTTAATATTTTCTTATTACTACTTTTGTTCAATCTATTTAATATTTAGTTATTATATTCCAGAAGATAAAAAAGCATGCCAGATGCACATTACTGCAACCAACTAGTCCCACTTTCTTTTTAATTCGTCTTCATTCTTGTTTTATCTTCGCTTTATTCATTATATCATCGGACAAAAATAAAGAGGAAATAAGATGAGGGAGACCTATTTCTTAAAATAATAAGTACGCAATAACGTGCATTGGAATATAGTTTGTCAAAATAATACTTGATAATTCAGCTGCTACATTTTAGAGTTAATTTATGTGTTCTCTCTCTCTCTCTCTCTCTCTCTCTCTCTCTCTCTCTCTATATATATATCTTTTTATATATATTTTTTAAATAAAATTATAAAGAAATTGGTAGGAGCCTACACGTATTTAAAAGCAGATATTTTAAATTGCAAATCTAATGGGCTGCATTTTATACAATATTACGTGGATATGTGAATACAAATATGAGAATGCATAAGAATTGAAAATATGTGACACGTAATGGACGAACGCATCTTTAATTTATTATGCATTATGCTATTCACTTGATATAATCTCGTGCAATTGTGCGCATTGCAGCTCTCGTTATATATTTTGCTAATTTATATTTTTTACTTTTTCCAAGTCTACATAAATAAAAATTAGCGAATTTTTGTATCCATGAAAGTTAAATATGTCTCACATTATGTTTAATTCAGACGGAATAAGAAATAGTAGTTGTAACGTGTCTAAAATAATCGTGCGATTCATATTTAAAACGCAATAACGCAAAACGCACAATAACGTTTTAATTAAATCTTTTTTTTTGCTTGAAGTTGATAAGTCTTAACTCTCTGCGCGACTATTTATCTTCTTCTTGCAAATGAACACTCTTGCACCATTTATTGATAGTGATTAATTAAAGGAATTAACGTCTCGTTGCGTTCTTTCTTCTTTGCCTGTTTTTTTTTTTTTTTTTTTTTTTTTTTTTACTAATCATCAAACCTGTTCTTTCCAGATTGAAAATGAAAGTATGCTGAATGTATTTGAAGCAAAATTGTCAACAGCATATTTCAATCGTTGTTACATACGTATGGACGACGCTGTTGCGTTGCGGAAGATAGAAATAGGATTAAAAATCAGCAATTTACAACATATCATTATTAAAATATACTAACCGTCAACTTCCTAGAAAAGTTACAATAAAAGGGGTCATTGCGTCGGTCCTACGTATATACGGACCACGCCTTCGTAAATATTTATCCGTGCATTTTTTAAGAATCTTACGACAACTTATTAATAACAACACGCGTGTTGCTCCTCCTCCTCCGCTTATCGAAGGGAGCTAGCGATTATCAACATGTTTTTAATGCCCCGTTTGTGCGCGAGTGAGAGCTTGTGCCCTGACGCAATTTTTCCTCCCCTTTGCTATGATCGCGCGATGCCGCTGTTAATGCAACATCTCTTTCTCATCCATTTAAAATTGTTCCATTTTGCCCCCACTCATCATTAAAGACCATCGACAAGCGTAGTGATTCGATTAGGAAGAAAAAGAGGAAGCTAATTCTCTCCTTCCATCTATCTATTGCCCCCTCTTGTGCGCTTCGTTGATAAATAAAATATTAACCAGCACTTAATTCGAGCATGCCGTATTATGATCAAGCTGCCGAATCAACAATCAGTGAACAAACGAACGAACGAACGAACGAACGAGCGAGCGAGCATTCTACACGAATAGAAAAAAATACTCATTTTTTTATTCGGCAACATTTCATAATCACTATAACAGTGTGTGCGATTCATCAAATTTAACAATACTTCAAGAGACCCGAGCTTTTTCAGTTTTTGATCGACCTCTCCATTTTTCTCATCGCTCGTCAACGATCACTCACCGTGAAAACCAGTGACTTAACACAGACGGTATACGGCTTATTTCATTTCCTAATCTCTTTTAGACGAGACCCTCGTCTGGGATATACGTGCCTAAAGAACGCGCGTAAAAAAACTCGAGTTTTCGTCGACGTAGAATGAGCTGCGCGGATATTCAGGGCAGCATAAACGAACAGCAACGATTGTGCATTTCTTGTTGATCGTCTCTCTACGCACATCCGCCAGATATTCAAATCAACATGGTTCATCTGCGGCGCAAAGTAAGCAATATACCTTTGCAATTATGTATATTTATCCTTCAACGAGATCGTCACCTCGAAAGATTTTTTTTGGCAACGCGTCGCGATCCGTTTAGAAAAAAAAATTGAAATTTCTCGATCAAACAAGATTTAACAAAAAATATTAATATTATTTCGTAAAATGCAAAATTAACACAAAGGTTATTCTTTTTCTGCATATATTTTTCTCGATCTTTCCTCACATTGTGTTTTTTTTTTTTTATAAATTTTATCTTTAAACATACAAGCTAGATTTATGTAATAAACTTTGCGTTTTTGCAATTGTCACGCAACACTACTCGTGCTCTTCGAGTCACGTGGTTTTAATTCCAACCAAACATTTAAATAAGACAGTAAGTCTGTCTTATTTAAATTAATTAGACTTCTTATATACGCGAGTTATGCGCGCGCTGAATTAAAATAATTAAATATATAATATACATATTATAGATAGATTATTTATATTATATTGTTATATATTTTCTTTCACATTTTATATATATTAATATACTTCCATCTTCTTCGTTGCGTAATAAATCTTATCATCAATGAAGTATTAGATCTAAACACTTGTTACGAAATACCTGTTTTCAGAATGATAACGAAATAGTGGCAACATCAGCTTCCGTTGAAATAAATTTGTTCGATAACAATTTAATCTAATTAGTGAAAGCAAGCAATTTATCAAAATTAAAAAAGAATAATCAAACAACAATTTTATATTTTTATACATCTAGTCGAATATTAACTTAATTTGTAATTTAAAGGCAATTATTAAGTGATACTTGCAACATTTTATTAACAAGAATAAAATTATTAATTTTTTATTGTTTGATACATGAAAAAAAAAACGATTAGATTAAGAACAACGAATTACATTGGAAGTTTTGCTATAGTCTCTTACTAGATGAATTAATCACCGATTAAGTTAAAGTTAAACATTGATCAAAATTGCCTCAACACAAATATGCAGTATTTAGCTATTATTTATATCGATAAATATGTAAAATTTCAACATCTTTGAATATTGTTTAGAGTTTCTGATTTCTCGAAATCGTTTATGCATTTGTTTGTCATAGATATAAATCAATGTATGTTTAATGTATTTTCATATAGATTTTATCTTTTGGAAATCTCGTTAATCAGCTGCAACAAAATTTAAAGTGGAGCTCTTCTTTAAAAACTAAAGATAAAAATTCTGTACAACCACAACGTTCTTTCAAGGTATTTATTTTTCATGATAATGATATTTTAACAGTTATATATAGTACATATGAGTGAGAGTAAAAATATAATTTGTGTATATTTACAGTATACAGACTTATCAGTCCATCTTGCTGGCCTAGATCAATTAAATCCTAAACCTGATGTTAAAGAACTTTTATTTGGCAAATATTTTACCGACCACATGCTTAAAATACATTATTACGAAAGCATGAACGGTTGGCAAACGCCAGAAATTATGCCTTTTGGAAACATAACTCTTCATCCAGCTGCAAAAGTATTTCATTATGCCATAGAGGTATATATATAATTTTATATATTTGATTTTATTATATTATAGATAATTGCAAGATTAAAAAAATTTTATCATTAATAGATTTCTTTTATTTTAATGAAAAAATATTGCTTACCTAATTAGAGAAAAAGAGAAATTGGCATCTATTTTTGCTTTGTAATTTATATAGTAATTTAATAATGTAGTAATGTAATTTAATAGCTGTGCATATGTTTATAATATCAATGGTGAATTTCTAATTTTAATAACGTTTGTTGTTGACCCCTTTAATAGAAAGTATGATTTATAAAATAGTATTATCTTTACTATGTTATATACGTGTAAATGAAGCTGATAAGCCTTCTTTTATCAGATAAAATTACAATGAAGAAATATATCTTGAAATATTCTCTATCAAAAATATTCAAGCGATCAAATCAAATCATGATTCTGAAGGCTATTGTGTTACCATCTTTGTACTACTAGACTCAAAATCTAAAAAATGTGTTTAAAATTGTAAGATATATAAAAATTATTAGACTTGTACTGATATTAGAGGAAAAACTCTTGTTATATATGCTTTAGTTTGGCAATAATAATACATGTATAAATCTTTCTTCAGTTATTTGAAGGTATGAAAGCTTATAGAGGTGTTGATGGCAAAATAAGATTGTTCAGACCAGAGCTAAATATGGAGAGAATGAATAATTCAGCAGCAAGAATTGGTCTACCTCCTTTCAATGGTGAAGAATTAATTAAGTGCATTAGCAGATTAATTAGTATAGATCAAGAATGGGTGCCGCATTCTACTGCCTCTAGTCTTTACATTCGTCCTACGTTTATAGGTATTGACGTAAGTACCATTTTGTATTTTATTATGGACGTTTGAGAGAGAGAGAGAGAGAGAGAGAGAGAGAGAGAGAAAAAAAAAAAATAACGTGAAATACTATATAACGTGTTCTGTTATAGTATTTAAAATTTAAATTTGCGTTATACCTAGCCTATTTTACAATATATAATGCAATGCACATTTGTTTGTACAATAAATACCAAATAAACGGTATCACTTATGTCACATACGTCATCACGACATTTGCTATATGTACACGAGAATAATCAAAAAGTATTTCTCAATACCTAATGATAACACTTGATAAATCAGTCTTTTGTTGACGCGTGCTCACATATTATATACGAGACGATGCTCCTACGATCGTGTTTATATAGATACAGAGAGAGAGTTTTGAGTTATTATAAGTACATTTAATATATACACACGAGAATTCTTTCTATCTTTTTTTGATAGATTTGATATAACAAATGTAATTTTTATATATTAATCATAATTATCATATGTGTGTTTTAGAGTTTTTATTATATCTATATGCAATTGAGACATAGTTACTTTTTATTATTATTATTTAAATAATATATCATATGAATAACTAATGTGAAATATATGGCATTAATTTCACATGCAAAATCTTTCTTTCAATTTTAACGTTCTGACTTTCTGCCGGCAAAATAAGTTGCCTCAGAGTATTTGTGTTGAATTTTATGCTTAGATAGCATCCAGAGAAACTCCTTCTCTTTTTGTTATCTATCATAGACATAAAATGATGTCTACGTTATCTACTTTATATTAACGACTTTCTTGAAGCATGATATTATTTAATAAAATTGATGCTGATGCAATAATCTTATGTATATATAACAGCTGATGCAATATTGTAATGAATCTTATATCTTATACAATAGGAACATATAACAATATATTTATATATGAAATAATACACACAAAAATATAATCTTAAAATAATAATAAAAAATTTGTAACGTTATATATTTATATTAAAATATTTAAAAAATATACATTTTAATTAAAAACTTTTGATTATTTAATAAAAATTATTTATAATTCTGAATTTTTTCATAATCTAGCTTAAACATACATATTTTATGTTCCTTTAACAGCCTACGCTTGGAGTTGTAGCCTCGGACGCGGCTTTACTGTATGTTATCCTGTCTCCCGTCGGATCTTACTTTAAAACCACAAAGCAGCAAGGGATTTCCCTGCTTGCAGATCCTAGATATACGAGAGCATGGCCGGGCGGTTGCGGTAATTCTAAATTAGGCAGCAATTACGGACCTACGATTCATGTGCAACAGGAAGCAGATGAAAAAGGCTTACACCAAGTACTTTGGCTATACGGGGAAGATCATGAACTCACAGAAATCGGCGCTATGAACATTTTTGTGGTTTACATAAATGATAACGGAGGTAAGAAG